TTTGTGCCAATCAGTTGTGTTGTGACAAGGTGTGTGGGGGGGGGGGTAAAAGACCAAGTCCATATTATGGCAAGAACAGCTCAAATAAGCAAAGAAAACCAACAGTCCATTATTCCTTTAAGACATGAAGGTCAGTCAATCCGGAAAATTTCAAGAACTGTGAACGTTTCTTCAAGTGCAGTCGCAAAAACCATCAAGCGCTACAATGAAACTGGCTCTCATGAGGACCGCCACAGGAAAGGAAGACCCAGAGTTAACTCTGCTGCAGAGGATAAGTTCATTAGAGTTACCAGCCTCAGAAATTGCAGCCCAAATAAATGCTTCACAGAGTTCAAGTAACAGACACATCTCAACATCAACTGTTCAGAGGAGACTGCGTGAATCAGGCCTTCATGGTCGAATTGCTGCAAAGAAACCACTTCTAAAGGACACCAATAAGAAGAAGAGATTTGCTTTGGCCAAGAAACACGATCAATGGACATTAGACCGGTGAAAATCTGTCCTTTGGTCTGATGAGTCCAAATTTGAGATTTTTGGTTCCAACCGCCATGTCTTTGTGAGACGCGGAGTTGGTGGACGGTTGATCTCCGAATGAGTGGTTGCCACCGTGAAGCATTGAGGAGGAGGTGTGATGGTGTGGGGGTGCTTTGCTGGTGACACTGTCTGTGATTGATTTAGAATTCAAGGCACACTTAACCAGCATGGCTGGATACGCCATCCCATCTGGTTTGTTCTTAGTGGGACTATCATTTGTTTTTCAACAGGAAAATGATCCAACACACCTCCAGGCTGTGTAAGGGCTATTTGACCTAGAAGGTAAGTGATGGAGTGCTGCATCAGATGACCTGGCCTCCACAATCACCCGATCTCAACCCAATTGAGATGGTTTGGGATGAGTTGGACTGCAGAGTGAAGGAAAAGCAGCCAACAAGTGCTCAGCATATATGGGAACTCCTTCAAGACTGTTGGAAAAGCATTCCAGGTGAAGCTGGTTGAGAGAATGCCAAGAGTCTGCAAAGCTGTCATCAAGGCAAAGGGTGGCTACTTTGAAGAATCAAAAATATAAAATATGTTTTGATTTGTTTAACACTTTTTTGGTTAATACATGATTCCATATGTGTTATGTAATAGTTTTGATGTCTTCACTATTATTCTGCAATGTAGAAAATAGTAAAAATTAAGAAAAACCTTTGAATGAGTAGTTGTGTCCAAATTTTTTGACTTGTACTGTATATATAATATATACATTGCATTCGGAAAGTTTTCAGACCTCTTCCCTTTTTCCACATTTTGTTACGTTACAGCCTTATTCTAAAATGTATTAAATGCATTTTTTCCCTCATCAATCTATGCAAATTCAATTGATTAGACATGATTTGGAAAGGCACACGCCTGTCTATATAATATCCCACAGTTGACAGTGCATGTCAGAGCAAAAACCAAGCCATGAGGTTGAAGGAATTGTCTGTAGAGACAGGATTGTGTCGAGGCACAAATCTGGGGAAGTGTACCAAAAAATGTCTGCAGCATTGAAGGTCCCCAAGAACACAGTGGCCTCCATCATTCTTAAATGGAAGAAGTTTTGAACCACCAAGACTCTTCCTAGAGCTGGCCGCCCAGCCAAACTGAGCAATCGGGGGAGAAGGGCCTTGGTCAGGGACGTAACCAAGAACCCGATGGTCACTCTGACAGAGCTTCAGTGTTCCTCTGTGGAGATGGGAGAACCTTCCAGAAGGACAACCATCTCTGCAGCACTCCACCAATCAGGCCTTTATGGTAGAGTGGCCAGAAGCCACTCCTCAGTAAAAGGCACATGACAGCCCATTTGGAGTATGCCAAAAGACACCTAAAGGACTCTCAGACCATGAGAAACAAGATTCTCTAGTCTGATGAAACCAAGATTGATCTCTTTGGCCTGAATGCCAAGCGTCACTTCTTGAGGAAACCTGGCACCATCCCTACGGTGAAGCGTGGTGGTGGCAGCATCATGCTGTGGGGATGTCTTTCAGCGGCAGGGACTGGGAGACTAGTCAGGCTTGAGGGATAGATGATCGGAGCAAAGTACAGAGAGATCCTTGATGAAAACCTGCTCCAGGACCTCAGACTGGGGCGAAGGTTCACCTTCCAACAGGACAACGACCCTAAGCACACAGCCAAGACATCGCAGGAGTGGCTTCGGGACAAGTCTTTGAATGTCCTTGAGTGGCCCAGTAGGAGCTGTTCCAACATCTAGTGAAAAGCTTTCCAAGAAGAGTGGAGGCTGCTATAGCAGCAAATGGGGGACCAACTCCATATTAATGCCCATGATTTTGGAATGAGATATTTGATGAGCAGCTGTCCATATACTTTTGGCCATGTAGCGTATATATATTTTTTACATAACTTAAATATTTAAGCAATAAGGCCCGAGTAGGTGTGGTATATGGCTAATATATACTACATTACCAAAAATATGTGGACACCTGCTCGTCGAACATCTCATTCCAAAATCATGGGCATTAATATGGAGTTGGTCCCTGCTTTGCTGCTATAACAGCCTCCACTCTTCTGGGAAGGCTTTCCACTAGATGTTGGAACATTGCTGTGGGGACTTGCTTCCATTCAGCCACAAGAGCATTGGTGAGGTCGGGCACCGATGTTGGGCGATTAGGCCTGGCTCGCAGTCGGCGTTCCAATGAATCCCAAAGGTTTTCGATGGGGTTGCGGTCAGGGCTCTGTGCAGGCCAGTCAAATTCTTCCACACCGATCTCAACAAACCATTTCTGTATGGACCTCACTTTGTGCATGGGGGCATTGTCATGCTGAAACAGGAAAGGGCCTTCCCCAAACTGTTGCCACAAAGTTGGAAGCACAGAATCTTCTAGAACGTAATTGTATGCTGTGGCGTTAAGATACACCTTTTGTATATATAGTGTACCATGGCTAAGGGCTGTTCTTATGCCCGACGCAACGCGGAGTGCCTGGACACAGCCCTTAGTCATGGTATATTGGCCGTATATCACAAACCCCAAAGGTGCCTTATTGCTATTATAAACTGGTTACCAACGTAATTAGACAGGTAAAAATAAATGTTTTGTCATACCCGTGGTATATAGTCTGATATACCACGGCTGTCAGCCAATCAGCATTCAGGGCTAGAACCACCCAGTTTATAAATATAAATATAAATATATATATATATGTATACAGTGGGGAGAACAAGTATTTGATACACTGCCGATTTTGCAGGTTTTCCTACTTACAAAGCATGTAGAGGTCTGTAATTTTGATCATAGGTACACTTCAACTGTGAGAGACGGAATCTAGAACAAAAATCCAGAAAATCACATTGTATGATTTCTAAGTAATTAATTTGCATTTTATTGCATGACATAAGTATTTGATACATCAGAAAAGCAGAACTTAATATTTGGTACAGAAACCTTTGTTTGCAATTACAGAGATCATACGTTTCCTGTAGGTCTTGACCAGGTTTGCACACACTGCAGCAGGGATTTTGGCCCACTCCTCCATACAGACCTTCTCCAGATCCTTCAGGTTTCGGGGCTGTCGCTGGGCAATAAGGACTTTCAGCTCCCTCCAAAGATTTTCTATTGGATTCAGGTCTGGAGACTGGCTAGGCCACTCCAGGACCTTGAGATGCTTCTTATGGAGCCACTCCTTAGCTGCCCTGGCTGTGTGTTTCGGGTCGTTGTCATGCTGGAAGACCCAGCCACGACCCATCTTCAATGCTCTTACTGAGGGAAGGAGGTTGTTGGCCAAGATCTCACGATACATGGCCCCATCCATCCTCCCCTCAATACGGTGCAGTCGTCCTGTCCCCTTTGCAGAAAAGCATCCCCAAAGAATGATGTTTCCACCTCCATGCTTCACGGTTGGGATGGTGTTCTTGAGGTTGTACTCATCCTTCTTCTTCCTCCAAACACGGCGAGTGGAGTTTAGACCAAAAAGCTATATTTTTGTCTCATCAGACCACATGACCTTCTCCCATTCCTCCTCTGGATCATCCAGATGGTCATTGGCAAACTTCAGACGGTCCTGGACATGCGCTGGCTTGAGCAGGGGGACCTTGCGTGCGCTGTAGGATTTTAATCCATGACGGCGTAGTGTGTTACTAATGGTTTTCTTTGAGACTGTGGTCCCAGCTCTCTTCAGGTCATTGACCAGGTCCTGCCGTGTAGTTCTGGGCTGATCCCTCACCTTCCTCATGATCATTGATGCCCCACGAGGTGAGATCTTGCATGGAGCCCCAGACCGAGGGTGATTGACCGTCATCTTGAACTTCTTCCATTTTCTAATAATTGCGCCAACAGTTGTTGCCTTCTCACCAAGCTGCTTGCCTATTGTCCTGTAGCCCATCCCAGCCTTGTGCAGGTCTACAATTTTATCCCTGATGTCCTTACACAGCTCTCTGGTCTTGGCTATTGTGGAGAGGTTGGAGTCTGTTTGATTGAGTGTGTGGACAGGTGTCTTTTATACAGGTAACAAGTTCAAACAGGTGCAGTTAATACAGGTAATGAGTGGAGAACAGGAGGGTTCTTAAAGAAAAACTAACAAGTCTGTGAGAGCCGGAATTCTTACTGGTTGGTAGGTGATCAAATACTTACTGTATGTCATGCAATAAAATGCAAATGAATTACTTAAAAATCATACAATGTGATTTTCTGGATTTTTGTTTTAGATTCCGTCTCTCACAGTTGAAGTGTACCTATGATAAAAATTACAGACCTCTACATGCTTTGTAAGTAGGAAAACCTGCAAAATCGGCAGTGTATCAAATACTTCTTCTCTCCACTGTATATATATATATATATATATATATATATATATATATCAGACCTCACTTTGAGAACCCCTGAATGTATACTACAGAGAATAGATTCCGTTGATTTGTGGTTTGTCACTGCCCAAACACAACTTTCCAACAAACAGCAACATTTGATTTTGTCGCCTAATGTTTTGTCCGATTGTGTGTGTTTGTGTCTGTGTGTTCTCCTTAGCTGCTGTTGTGTCCGTCAGGGGACAAGTCGTCATGTCGTGAGATGGTGGTTCACAGCAACAGTCTCCAGGTCGGAGGTTTGACCCCAGGATCAGATTATGACATCACCATCCTGAGCCTGCTGGTATCGGACTTCAGCCAGCCTGTCACTACACAGTTCTCCACACGTAAGACACACACACACACACACACGCACGCAAATCAACCTCTTTGTGGCAACTCTTAATGTGGCTAGCCATATCAGGGCCATATCAAAGCTCCTAGTAGTAACCTTTAACCCTCAGAGACTGAGACAGAGCTGAATATGAGATGAGATAGATGAGATGTTATACTAACGTGTGTGTGTGTGTGTGTGTCTGATGCAGGTCCGGCCGGTGTGTGTTCACTCTCTCTGCTCTATGTTAACTCTTCCTGTGCCGTGGTGAGGTGGGACGCTGCCATTGGCCAGTTTGACTTCCACAGGGTAACTGTGAGAAATGGCTCTCAAACACATACGCTAGAGGTATCCAGGGAGATGCAGGTTGCTACAGTAACTGGGTTGAGGGATGGCTGTAGCTACAATATGAGCGTGGAGCGCATCAGACGAGGAGAGGCAGGGACAGCTGCCTCCCTGACTGTAACCACAGGTACCTGAGTGTAACACAACTACATTACTCTGACCACGCTATGATCACAGCTCAACCACAACTTCCCTGATTTTAAGCATGGGTCACTCAATAAGTTATACATAAAATATTTATCTCTTTCTCTGTGTCCCTCCATCTCTCGCCCCTCTCTTTTTATCTTTCTCTCTCTCTCTCTCTATCTCTCTCTCTCTCTCTCTCTCTCTCTCTGTCTCTCTCTCTCTCTCTCTCTCTCTCTCTCTCTCTCTCTCTCTCTCTCTCTCTCTCTCTCTCTGTATCCCTCAGTGCTGGGCCATGTGCGGGGTGTGTATGTGGTTAGTGTGTCTGCTCAGAACTTCTCTCTGCGTTGGGAGCAGTCAGAGGGCTGTGTGGACCAGTACCTCGTCAGCCTGCTGCCCAACCAAGGAACTGTCTCTGTCTACCACACACACGATGGACGCGTACAGGTACACACACACGGAAGCTATTACATAGTAGACGTTAGCAGCAGCAGTGGAGACAGGAGTTAATCTGCTTCTGTAAATGTCAACATAAGTGAGTTATGGAGACACACACACACACACCTATACTAACACATACCTCCCCTCACCCAGATCCCACCCCTTCCCGACCTTGCCCAGCAGCCAGGTGTCAGATACCCCCAGCGTAACCTAACACAAAAACACACACATACACACACAGGTTGAGTAATAGAGCTCATTATTTATTAGGTAGACCTACTGAGCTCAACCCTGAATCATTCATTTGGTGAAGCTGCTCTCCCCAGAGAGAGAGAGCGAGAGAGAGTTTGCCTGCATGGAGTTATGGTGCACACACTGCCCTGCCTCTCTCTGACCTAACCGGCTAACTGCTGACCACTGGACGATGGCTAACGGTGGACTGGGTTACTACCAGAGCTGGACTACATCTACTATTGCTGTAGCTAACCTGTTGCTACCCTAAGACTGGACTATTACTACTACTGTAATCTTTCTGCTCTAATTGTTTCTACATTGTGGTGACATGTACTGCCCTCAAACTCTTCAACTCTAACCTGCTAACCGTAGCTAACTATCGCTAACTGTGGACTGGGTTACTACGTTAGGCCTGGATGACTGCTCTAAGATCTAACCTGCTGTAACACTGTGACCTGCTGTAGCTAAATTGCTGACAACACTGGATTGAACAATGGCGCTAAGCCCTCTAACCTTGAGCTAATGTGTAGCACTGGACGCTAACATTGCCTCTTTCTCGCTAACCTGCTGCCTCTGACCAGCAAACAGCTAACTGGGCTAACAGGTAACTGGGCTAACTGGGGTAACTAGGCTAACAGGGCTAACTGGGCTAGCTGCAGCATGGCCATCACTCTCCTCCTGATCATCACCTTCTACCTGGGTTACACACACTCACAGGTTAGACTGCTCCACACACACACACACACACACAGTCATCTGCAACCACATACTGTAGTTGTGTTGTGGTTGTGTTCATGTTCTGACCGTGCAGTCTCTTCTCAGGCTGATGTTTCCAGTCTGAGTCCTCGAACAGTGTTTACGGTCATGGTGACCGCCGCCTCCTCCTCCAACCTCAGCCCTCCGGTCAGCCGCATAATCAACACCAACGAGACCGGTGAGATGTGTTACAGCCGAACTGATAGTGGTCTGCTCTGAGGAAACTGTTCTGCTGCTGCCCTCTGCTGATAATGGCTGATAATATTTATTATCTCCCACACTGTGCGTGTGTGTGCGTGTGTGTGTGTGTGTGTGTGTATATGTGTGTGTGTGTGTGTGTGTGTGTGTGTGTGTGTGTGTGTGTGTGTGTGTGTGTGTGTGTGTGTGCGCGCGCGTGCGGTGTGTAGGTGTGTGTGTGTGTTTGTAGGTGTGTGTACGTTTGTGTGTGTGTGTGGTAACTCTAGCCTTGCTAAGCAGGATGAATGATGCTGTAGTGAATGTCAGTGAAATGCCAGAGCTCTGAGGGTCTATTCACCAGAATAGAGCAAGCTGGTCATACACACCCATAATGTCTCATCATTCTCCCAGTTTGTTGAATGGACTTCCTAGTTTAGGCAGGATGTACTGTTATGTATGGATTGGATTCTTTCTGGAATATGGCCTTAACAGTTCTCCTCTCGTCTCTTCTTCTTTCCTCTCCCTCCTCCTCTCCCAGCCCCAACATCCCCTCCCACCAATCTAGAGGGGGAGCGGGTGGGCTCCAATGGGATCCTTCTATCTTGGACCATGCCCTCTGACTCCCGCATCGACGGTTATGTCATCAGGTAAGGAGACATATGATGTAGACCCAGATTAAGCCTTCTCCTGGAACACTATGAGGGGAATAACACTGTAAGGGGAATAGGGGGTTGATATTCCACCACTATTTACCTCTAAATAAAGTTTAAATAAAGTTGTTTGTATATCATCTGGTGTTTAAATAAAGTTGTTTGTTTATCATCTGGTGTTTAAATAAAGTTGTTTCTATTTAATTTAATAGGTACAAGGAGGTGTGTCCGTATCCAGACACCACCTTCAAAGAGGTGACCAAACACCTGGACATCCCTGAGACCCTTCTCAACCTCTTTTTACCAGGGTCTACCTATAACATCAAGGTAACAATCATACAGTAAACATACTGTAAGTAACGTCTCTCTGCTCTCGCACTCTTTCACACACACATCTAGAAGGTAATCATACACAGGAGAGGCTATACAGACATGCCTGGTGTCCAAAACTTACCAGTCAAAACAGTACCAGTCAAAATTTTGGACACACCTACTCATTCAAGGGTTTTTCTTTATTTTTACTATTTTCTACATTGTAGAATAATAGTGAAGACATCAAAAGTATGAAATAACACACATGGAATCATGTAGTAACTGAAAAAGTGTTAAACAAATCAAAATATATTTTATATTTGAGATTCTTCAAAGTAGCCACCTTTTGCCTTGATGACAGCTTTGCACACTCTTGGCATTCTCTCAACCATGAGGTAGTCACCTGGAATGTATTTCAATTAACAGGTGTGCCTTCTTAAAAGTTAATCGCCTGGAGCGATAATTGATAGGGAAAACTGACTTAATCCTCCCAAATAAAAATAGTTAATTGACAAAAACAAAACCAAACTCCCACTTCTTCCTTCCTTCAAATCTCCATATATCCCTTCTCAGGCTCTGGGGCCTAAGAGGGTGGTACGGCTTGTGACAATACTCCATGCAACTCCTCCACTGAGAAATCTTTCAGTCCCAGGTACTGCGCCGCCGCATCCACAATGATATCTATTTTCCTGGACCTTCTCTCCACTTTGGCAGTGCCATTAATCCCCATAGCTATGAAGGCCACAAAGTCCACCGTCTTAGCCTTTAAAATATATGGGTCCTGCTGATGAAAGGCAACCCCTGCAGCCTGCAGGGAAGGCCTATCCACCACCATGGACTCTTCAGGAGCATCATTCGAACCCTCAACCCTTTTAACAGCCGCTGCATATGAAATGCTCTGGACAGCCCTGACTTTGGCCAGCTCATTCTCTTTCACCCTGGTCGGGCATTCCAAAGACATGGCTTCATGGTTCCCACCACAATTGCAACAAGTTCATCGCTTTTAAAACACATGACATGATCTTTTCCACAACTTGGACATCCCGGCTTCTCCCTTCTTCAAAAACTTGAAACATGTCCAAAAGCTTTACAGTGATCACACTGCATTGGTCTTGGGATAAATGCTCTGATTATGTAGTTTATACAGTGCATTCGGAAAGTATTCAGACCCCTTCCCTTTTTCCACATTTTGTTACGTTACAGCCTTATTTTAAAATGTATTAAATATAAAAGTGTCCTCATCAATCTACACATAATACCCCATAATGACAAAGCGTAAACAGGTCTTTAGAATTTGTTGCTAATTTACAAAAAATAAAAAACAGAAATACCTTATTTACGTAAGTATTCATGCATTTTGCTATGAGACTCGAAATTGAGCTCAGGTGCATCCTGTTTCCATTGATCATCCTTGAAATGTTTCTACAACTTGATTGGAGTCCACCTGTGGTTAATTCAATTGATTGAACATGATTTGGAAAGGCACACACCTGTCTATATAAGGTCCCACAGTTGACAGTGCATGTCAGAGCAAAAACCAAGCCATGAGGTCGAAGGAATTGTCCGTAGAGCTCCGAGACAGGATTGTGTCGAGGCACAGATCTGGGGAGGGGTACCAAAACATTTCGGCAGCATTGAAGGTCCCCAAGAACACAGTGGCCTCAATTATTCTTAAATGGAAGAAGTTTGGAACCACCAAGACTCTTCCTAGAGCTGGCCGCCCAGCCAAACTGAACAATAGGGGGAGAAGGGCCTTGGTCAGGGAGGTGACCAATTACCCGATGGTCACTCTGACAGAGCTCCAGAGTTACTCTGTGGAGATGGTTGTCCTTCTGGAAGGTTCTCCCATCTCTGCAGCATTCCACCAATCAGGTCTTTATGGTACAGTGGCCAGACGGAAGCCACTCCTCAGTAAAAGGCACATGACAGCCACTTGGCACCTAAAGGACTCGGACCATGAGAAACATGATTCTGTAGCCTGATGAAACCAAGATTGAACTCTTTGACCTGAATGCCAAACGTCACGTCTGGAGGAAACCTGGCCCCATCCCTACAGTGAAGCATGGTGGTGGCAGCATCATGCTGTGGGGATGTTTTTCAGTGGCTGCAGGTACTGGGCGACTAGTCAGGATCGAGGGAAGGATGAATGGAGCAAAGTACAGAGAGATCCTTCATGAAAACCTGATTCAGAGTGCTCAGGACCTCAGACTGGGGCGAAGGTTCACCTTCCAACAGAACAACGACCCTAAGCACACAGCCAAGACAATGCAGGAGTGACTTCGGGACAAGTCTCTGAATGTCCATGAGTGGCCCAGCCAGAGCCTGGACTTGAACCCGATCAAACATCTCTGGAGAGACCTGAAAATAGCTGTGCAGCAATGCTCCCCATCCAACCTGACTGAGCTTGACAGGATCTGCAGAGAAGAATGGGAGAAACTCCCCAAATACAGGTGTGCCAAGTTTGTAGCATCATACCCAAGAAGACTCAAGGCTGTAATCGCTGCCAAAGGTGCTTCAACAAAGTATTGAGTAAAGGGTCTGAATACAGAATTTTTTTTTAAAAATAAAGTTTTTGCTTTGTCATTGGGTGTAGATTGATGAGGGGAGAAAAAAGCAATTTAATCAATTTTAGAATAAGGCTGTAACTTAACAAAATGTGTAAAAAGTCAAGGGGTCTGAATACCTTCAGAATAAAGTGTATACCCCAACTGCAGTTGAGTAGGGAGAGACTCCATATCAAAAAAACTAAAGAAGAGATAGACTCTTCACTTTTTTATCATTCACCACCCGATTCATCCAACGTGCATCCATCACTCCAGGAATATTTTTCATCTCTTCAACATCGAATTCCTACGAGCGGCAGATATAACCCCCTTGAGGGGTGCCCTTTTCCGAAGAGACACACACGACACGTCAAACTTCTCAAATCGGGTGGGACGCAACATACATTCCTCCTGATCCTCAGAAGTACAACAAATCTAAACAAGCCCGCCTCGTGATCCTCACAGCCTTCACTTTACCCAGCTGGTCCTCATTAACAAACCGTACTCCTACAAGATACGAAGGGACATTCTCATCACTGTACACTACTTTGCTCCATTTTCCATTCTTTTGGACAATATTCAAATTCTCCTTGATTCTACCGCCATTAGATTCACAATTCACATCAGTGTCCGCTTCTGCCATCTTTCCTCTTGTTCATTCCCCCCATTTTCTTTGTCTCCACTCGACACTTCTCCTTCTTCTCTTCTTCTTCTGTGGATTTTATATGGCGGTTGGCAACCAACTTTAAGGTGCATTAACCGCCACCAAATGGACTGGAGTGTGGACCAGAGACAGGGAAGGTCTAAATCCTACCCAATATCCTCGTCTCCTTAAGGAAACAAAATACATAATGAAATACTACATCCCCTGAAGATTTCCCCAGCAGTTCACTTAATCTAGGCTCTTCAACCCAATTACTCCTCAAATCTAATAACAAATCGCTCCCTTTCCCTCCTATATTTCTGGCACTGAAATAGAACGTGTTCCACTGTCTCCATCTCCTCCTGACAATGATCACATCCACGGCCAGCCCACTTATTAGGCTGGATTAGGCGGCCACTTATGGCAGCAGATTGACAAGGGCGGCATTTTCTGAGCTAAACTGACCAAGACGCACCTCCAACAAAACATAAAACCTCACATATTTCTGCCCCAAAACAATTTCTCTCAACCAGTGGCATATTGGCTTTTTAGGTGAGTGCTGATGCCGCCCTGTGATAAACAGTGCCCACTTTGTCAAAGGCAGGGGCTCAAAATATTTTGCTTGTCCATTCCCAGCGCGCCTCTCCAGGGTGCTGTTGGTGAGATGCATTGCTGCGGCGCTCCACCAACGTTCCATCAACAAATTTTTTTTTAACATAAATCATGTAGAAGATATAAGATATGGTAGAAAGAGTATGTGGCCTTTTCTGTAGCCTACAGGCTGGAGATGAAATGTATGACATTGTAATGAGACAGACACGTTTTACATCATGCAGATTTCTCCGATCAAATAGCCTAACCTAAATGGCGCCCAATTAAATAACAAATGCGCTGTCATGTTAACAAACAACATATTCTAAAAACAGGACAGGACAAAGGACAAACAGCTCTTACCTTCTCAAGCAACCCTTGATCTATCACTGTCTGAGGGAGCAACCAAGGTGGGATAGCAGGAAGAACCACAGAGGGGGTAAACTTCCTCCCAAACAACCCCATCTCTCACACCATGCCATTGCCTATCCACCCAAAACTTATATTCAGATTTCCTTCATGTTCCCAGCACTCTGACTACCTTTTTTTGTAGGATGTGGTCCACTCGACGCTCATCAGTGCAACATACGTCATCAATTTATTCTTCATCAAGGTTTATTAGCAGACTACACTCATAAGGCGTATTGCCGCCACCTGCTGTACGAGGTAGTTAAAAAAAAGAATCCCCCCCAGAAAAGCTGTTCTGGATCAACAAATACATACTAATTACCAAAAACAAAAAACACTTACAAAAATTCTCTACTACTCTACTACCCTGAATTTCAAAATATATATATATATATTATATATATTTTTTCAATGTTATATTTTGTGTTATATGTTATTATTTAAATGTCTATTCAGATCCCTACACATGCTCAGGAACCTGGGATTGGGGAACCTCTTCATTCAGTACTCCCTGTAACTAGCTACTGCGACCACTCCAGGAACTCTGGAACGTGATTCCCATCACAATTACAGCAACAAACTTCATCGGACTCTTCAACTACGACATATTTATTTATTCGACAAACACTTGCCACGTGTCCAAACTTTTTACAATTGTAACACGGCAGCGGCTTCTGTACATACGGTCTCACCGCATATCTCAAATTCCCAAGTTTTACATAAGTCGGGAGAACCACTTCATCAAACGACAGTAAAACCGATAGGCTTTGCTCCTTCTTTCCGTCCACCATTTGAGTCAAGCTATGTGCGTCTACCACACCTGGCATGTTATCCATAAACCACACAGCCTCTATGTCCAACAAGACACCAGAGATGACACCTTTAACCGGTGCCCTAGTCTGAAAATCATAGTTTTCCACATCATATGTCGATATCTTGTAGAGCCACAGAGCTTTCTCCTTTTGCGCTTTTGACACACATGAAATCAACATACCGCTGCTGGTCACTCTGACCGATTCCACTTTTCCCAATTCATCCTTCACGTCATCAATTTGGGCACCAGGCGTGTCCATATAGCCTCTCCTATCAATCACACTTACATCATTCAATAGAAATGTAACGTAAGCATATGGTAGAATGTGTGTTTTAACCATATCTGTCTTTGTCTTTGTGTGCATCCATGTATGCATGTGTGTGTGTTCCGGGCAGATGCCTCCGGCGGGGAAACTATTCTCTTGATCTGGTTAAATAATTAATTGTGATTAAATGATTTATAATGTAAAAAGATCTATGGATCAGCCATGCTGTTCTTTTTCCACAGACTATTCTGCCAATATGCTGTGTATGATTATGGTTAATAGTTTTCAGAATCCATTCATCCTTAATGACCTTAATACAGCTTAGCATGAGGGGCAAGGGAGTGTGTGTGTGTATCACATTACCAGATGTTACTTATGTGTACTGTATGAGCACACCCAGCAGTGCTGAGCAAGCTATGTCCTGCTCTGTCCTGCTCCTCATCTTACGATTTTTCATCTTCTCTGTTCTGTCTTCTATTCATTTTCTCTGTTCTATTTTCATAGCTATGGAGCCATATCATTATCTTATTAGAGTCAGAACTTCACTTTAACCTCTCATCTGAAGGATGTCACTCTGTACAGGGTGGTTCCTTCCCTGTCACTGTGGAGCTGGGGTCTCCTTAAGAGCAGAGGAAATAGTGCCCCCATCTAGCATCATCATCATCAGCCAACATCATCTGATCTCCCATCCAGGGAGGCCCAACCTTGCTTAGCTTCAAAGACAAGCTAGCAGTGGGCTACAGGGTGCTATGGATGTCCCTGTAGTCAGTGTGTATATCTGCCTGCCTGGTGTTGTGTGACTTTTGCATCAATAAATGTTCCTGATCACTGGTAGAGATTAACATGGTGGAGATCTGACGACTGAATCCTGAATTAGTAATGATGATTAATATTCTCTTGCTCTCGCTCTCTCTCTCTCTCTCTCTCTCTCTCTCTCTTCTCTCTCTCTCTCTCGCTCTCTCTCTCTCTCTCTCTCTCTCTCTCTCTCTCTCTCTCTCTCTCTCTCTCTCTCTCTCTCTCTCTCTCTCTCTCTCTCTCTCTCTCTCTCTCTCTTGCTGTCTGTCCAGGTTGCAGCAGAAAACTCTGCTGGTATTGGACCCTATAGCAAGTCTCTGTACATCAAAACTGCTGAGGCTCGTAGGTATCCACTAATAACATACAAACACACACACACACACTTACACACACAGACAACTGTATCCCTTTGTCAGCCCCAGGCCTGGTGACTAACCTGACAGCGTTTGCTGAGAACCACACGTTTGTAGTGGTCACGTGGCTCCTGCCACTCCGCATCAACGGTCTGATCACCAAGTTTGCGGTCAAAGCCAAACACGCTCGTACTGGTCAGACCGTCCGCATACTAGAGCTGGATGCTGAGGACATCATGACCGGAGCGCTACCACACTGTAATGTATGTCTTTCTCTCTCTCTCTGTTCGTCTGCTTCTTTCTTTCTCTCTCTCTCTGTTCGTCTGCTTTTTTCTCTCTCTCTGTTCGTCTGCTTCTTTCTCTCTCTCTCTGTTTGTCTGCTTCTTTCTCTCTCTCTCTACAAAGATACTCTGACCAGATCATTAGCAGAAGACTATCTAGATGAGATTAGATTTTTCAACTGGTTTTTAAACGTTCAGAAAATATATTGTAGTACAAACAGAACAGTGCTACAGGCCCCCAGTTTTTTTCCCTCTCTTTCTCTCTCTCTCTCTCTCTCTCTCTCTCTCTCTCTCTCTCTCTCTCTCTCTCTCTCTCTCTCTCTCTCTGTACTTAAATGTGTGTGTGTGTGTGTGTGTGTAGGATGCAGCAGACATCCTGTCCCGTGGGACCCCCAGTCCGTCAGAGGTGACAGCTCTGACAGCGTCCTCTCCTCCCGTCACCCTGTCAGCCGTCCCGCCCGCCGCCACCTGGGCCGTACCAATATCCGTAGGGGTGGACCAGCTTCGCCCCTACACAGCATACGTCTTCGAAGTGTCTGCTTTCACCTCCGACGGAGAGGGACAGGTCGCCTCCACCATGGTCCGCATGCCTGAGTCAGGTACACAAACACACCCACACACTCCACCTCTCTCCATTTACATCCCACTGGACACAGACGCCAGTTCAACATCTAATTTTGATTTGCATTGTGAATTCAATGTGAAATCAACAAAAAATGTCACCATGTCATTGGATTTAGGTTAAACGTTAGGTACGTTGATGACTTTTTGCAAATCCAATGAGTTTTCCACGTTGATTCAATGTCATCACATAGATTTGGGGGGTTGAAATGATGTGGAAACAACGTTGATTCAACCAGTTTTTGCCCAGTGGGATATCTCTGTCTATATCTCCATTTATCTTTCTAAAACCGTCTATCTCTATTTCTCCATCTCTCTGTATCTCTTCATCTCTCTCTATCTGTTCCAATATCTCCATATCTATCTATCTGTTCCTATCTCTTAATCTCTCTCTATCTCTCCATCTCTCTCTATCTGTTCCTATCTCTCCATCTCTCTCTATCTGTTCCTATCTCTCCATCTCTCTCTATCTGTTCCTATATCTCTTCATCTCTCTCTATCTCTCCATCTCTCTCTCTCTCTCTCTCTATTCCTATCTCTCCATCTCTCTCTCTCCATCTCTCTCTCACTGTTCCTATCTCTCCATCTCTCTCTCTCACCATGTGGATATGTATGTGTGTACTGCAGCCCCAGAGGACCCTCCCCACAACCTGTTGGTATGGAACATGACATCTAAGTCAGTCTCTGTCTCCTGGGATCCTCCAACCGTCGTTACCGGACGCTTCAGCTACGTTATCTATCTCTACGGCCCCACAGGTAAACACACACATACACATACACATACATCACTACATTTAAAACACTGAAGGTCGCAGATCTGACCCTAACGCTGTGTGTGTGTGTGTGTGTGTGTGTGTGTGTGTGTGTGTGTGTCTCAGGGTTTATCTATGAGAACAGCACAGGGGACCTGAGGTTTGTGTACTCTGGTCTGACACCCTACACACGCTACAGAGTGGAGGTCCGGGCCAAGTCTGCTGGCCTGCTGGGGCCTGAGGCATTTACTGCTGTACTGACACCTGCTGAGGGTAAGAACACACACACAAACATGTCTTGAGTGATGTGCTCTGCCAGTGTGGTGCCCTTCCTCTCCCTATTGGTCAGTGTGGTGAGTGTAGGAGTATTTTCCTACCTAAAATATCTAAACATTCGGCCTGGCTCTCTAACATTCCGTCTAACACTGTCTGGCTCTGTGTGTGTGTAGCCCCCAGTGTGGTGCAGGCTCTACAGGCAGTAGCAGTAGACTCTGTGTCTGTGCGTGTGAGTTGGAGAAGCCCTGCCCAGCCCAACGGTCTGATCACACAGTACAGACTCCTGGTTCTGTCTGACAACACACTGCTGCAGGACATCACCCTCACCGGAACACAGGTACCACTCTATCTGTCTGGATTAGTGGCTGTGTGTGTGTGTGTCTCTGATGTTTTTATCTTATCTTTAGGATCTAAATGACACTGATCTCCTTGGTGATGGAACGTTCGCGCCAGTTATCCCTGATGACTCTCTCCGGCGTAAGAGATCAGCTGACAGCCTGACCAACTCCCCGCCTGCATTCACGGTCACCCTCCCCGACCACACACTCAACACCGGCATGACCAGGACTGCAACCAGTCGCACACACAGCACTCCAACCAGCCCTAACACTAACCTTGACCACAACAGCAACACTGACCCCACAGTCACTGAGGGCTCCAGTCTGACCAGTATGGCCCCTGGGACTGGGACTGGGACTGACCAGACCTCTGACTTGCCAGACTCTACCCGTCTGATCTTTGGCCCTGTGACCTCAGGGACCTCTGCCCTCTCCCTAACCTCCTCACCCCCGGCCACACCCCTCCCCTGGCTCACTGCCCACTCACAGCCCAGCCAGCTCACCTCTGGCCAGCCACACCTCTCCACCCGCTCTGCACCTGCAGCCACTGGACACCTCCAGACACTCCAAACATACCTCTTCACCAGGGCTGCAGCCTCCAGCACCCCAGGAAGTACTGCACTCACCACCAACCTTTTAACCTTTTAACCGCAAGTTGACGTTTATTGTCATGAATCTTGCCCTGGAAGCAGAACTGAGCGATTTCCGCTAGATGGGCCAACTGCAAAGTCAAAATTGGCTATATTGTATAAATTCATGAAAACAAATGTGCTTTTTGGTCTAAATTTAAGGTTAGGTTTAGGCATTAGGGTTAGCAGTGTGGTTAGGGTTAGGTTTAAAATCGGATTTTATTTGGCATTTTATTAGGATCCCCATTAGCTGTTGCGATAGCAGCAGCTACTCTTCCTGGGGTCCACACAGAACATGAAACATGACATAATACAGAACATTAATAGACAAGAACAGCTCAAAGACAGAACTAGTGACCACTCTGGAGAGCTGCCTCCAGTACATGAGCCATGACAATCAATTCCAACCTGCCTTTTAAGCTCTAAACTCTTAACTCCTTTAACATTAAAGACTAGTTGATGATGAGGTGTGTTACCACTGCTCTACAGTCTGTCCTCTACACTGTGTGTGTGTGTGTGTGTGTGTGTGTGTGTGTGTGTGTGTGTGTGTGTGTGTGTGTGTGTGTGTGTGTGTGTGTGTGTGTGTGTTCCAGATGTGTATTTGAGGGAGAAGGTGATAGACATGCAGGCTGAGGAGCTGTTTTACCTAGTCTCTGGTCTCAGTCCCTTCACTGAATACACCTTCACTGTTACCGCGGCTACTGCTATTGGAGATGGACCTGCCACACACGTCACTGAGAAGACCCGCGAGCAGGGTACACACAGATATATACACAGTTTTGTAATAGTGTCATTGTTTGTTTATTGTTGTTGTTGTTTATTGTTGTGTGTTGTTGTTATCGTAGTTCCTAGCTCAGTGGTGGGCGTGTCCTATCAGAATGTTAGCTCCACCTCCATCCTGGTCAGCTGGACTCCGCCCCTTAACCCCAATGGACGAATCACACACTACACTCTCTACGGACTCAACCTGCACAGCAACCAGGCCCTACAGAGAATTACACACAACACCAGCATACTGCTTACAGGTAACACACACACACACAAACACAATGCTGTATGTACACATATACACATATGGTACAAGTCTCGTTCAAGCCTGTAAAGATGTATTGGTATTAAGCTGCTTGCTGTGTGTTTCAGGGCTGGAGAAGTATACAGGTTATAAGCTGCGAGTGGCTGCATCTACTGCTGTAGGAGAGGGCTCTCTGTCTGACCTAGACGATATTTTCACTGTCACACCCGAGGATGGTACGTACCACACACACACACACACACACACACACACCTCTCGTTGTGTGGGTTTCATGATAGAAAGTCCAATCTTATCCCTCTCTCTCTCCCCCTCAGAACCTGACTCCCCTCCTGTAGGGTTAACAGTGGTAGACACTTCTCCCTCCACCACCACCCTCTCTTGGTCGCCCCCGGAGAGAGCTAATGGGGTGATCCAACAGTATGAGGTCGTGTACAAGAACCAATCATATGTGGCAGTGTTGAACAGCTCTGTCCCCAGAGTGACTCTAACAGGGCTAAGGCCATTTTCATACTATAACATCTCTGTCAGAGCATACACACGTATCGGACATGGAAACCACACCTCAGACACACTCACTATGCTGTCTGGGGAGGACGGTGAGTCTACACACACACATAAACTACTAGACACAAACACATACACACACACACACAAACTAGACACATGCACACACTAACGCCTCATGTTGAAGTGTGTGTGTGTCTCCTCTCTAGTCCCGGGTAGTCCTTCCTACGGCCTGTCCTACGTGTCTGTCAGTTCCAATGAGGTGAACGTGACCTGGGAGCATCCCCTGGTGCCCAACGGAGTTATCACACACTTCAGGTACATCTCTGCATGGCTTCTAGATTTTAACTGTCTAGTGATGACTAAATGCACTTTAAATGAAGTTTGATTTGATTTACAGCCTTGAGCTGCGAAACTCCTCCCACTTCCTCAACCTGACCACACCCAACAACCACGCCCAGATCACACACCTGAGGAAGTTTGCGCAATACACTCTGGTGGTGAAGGCACACACACGTATTGGCTCCGGAAACCACAGCAGTGACCCTCTCAACATCACCACTCTGGAGGATGGTGAGAGCCTCTCAAACATGCGCACACACACACACCCCAGAACCACAGTAAACCCCTAAACATCACCCCAATGCAGGGAGGGATCTGGGGTAAGAGGAGGGAGGTAGAGGGAGACCATGGTTAGGGTCATTGTGTTTCAGGTAGCCGCGTTGTGGACCATGGTGTTAACATGACCAGAGACTCTGGACCACAGAAGGTTCATCATTACCTCTTCTTCTCATCTCACTACTGAAAGTTCACTTCCTCTCTCGGTCACAGGTTCTCCTGACACTCTGACATCACAGGTCAGGGGTCAGAGGTCAGGGGTTACCACAGAGTTATTCAACCCAGAACCATCACTATTAACCAATCAGCTTCACTTCACAGGGCTGTACTTACAGATGATTAACCAATCAGCTTCACTTCACAGGGCTGTACTTACAGATGAGACAGAATGCAGACAGACCTTCCTTCTTCCAGTCCATTTCCCCAAGGGGGCGTGGTTTTCAGTGTGTCTGTGTTTGGTTCTAACCAATAGTAAGTTTGTTTCAGAACCAGACACTCCCCCTCAGTTTCTGCTAGCCAGGAAATTGTCAGACTATGAGGTAGAATTGTCATGGGAACCACCAAAAGAGGCCAACTCTGAGATCCTCTACTACATAGTCAGAGTCTGGTGAGTTTTATGTAATTATTGATCGATAGTTTGAATCCTACTGCTGATGTGATGTTGAAAAAGATGTTGAGGGATGAGGCATTCTGATTGAAGCAGAAGTTACAGCTCCAACATGGCCTCTCTCTTCTTCCTCCTTCCTTCTCTCTCCTCTAGGAATGAGTCGTTTGAGGTGTGGCAGAACGTGACAGATACAGCTGTGGTTATCAGTGTTGACTCAGAGAATCGCTACAACGCCTCTATCTCCAGCTGGACACGCCTGGGGGACGGGGGAGTCCTCATATACATCAACTTCAGTATTATTGACGCAGGTACACACACACACAGTTAGAAACAGTTAGTTCCTTAACTTTTGAAAATCTTGTAGTCCAAACTGAGCAATGCTCTAGGCCTCCAGTTCAGTTTTAGTGAACACAAAGTCTTGCAATTCTCTTCCACAGTGCCGTTTGACCCTCCCCAGAATGTGTCGTTAGTGAATCTGACCTCTTCCTCTGTGACCATGCTCTGGCAACCTCCCACTCAGCCAAATGGAATACTCCTGCACTACACTCTGTACTACTCAGACAATACCACTGTCACAGATAAGGTGAGTTATACAGCACTACATTGTATACTACACAGACAATAAAGCTGTTATAAAGCAGGTGAGTAACACACACGCGCACTGTACACTGATGTGTAAAAGTGTGTTATTTTCTACTTTAAGGGCATTGTCTCTCTCTTCCCTCTCCATTAGCATATCCCAGTGTCAGAGCTGGACCCTGTCTCTCCGGGGGAGGACCTGTCCTACCGTCTGTCTGGCCTGAGAGGAGGACAGAACTACAGCCTCTGGCTGACCTCCAGCACCCTGCAGGGGGATGGGGGGGTCCATACTGATCCCTTAAACCTACTCACCCCAGAGGACGGTCAGTCACGCACACACACACACACACACACACAGAGAGTCTGCACTGTTTTTTCCAACCTCTTTTTGAACTTAATAAAATCACGGAAAAACTCTGAGATTGAAGTGGAACTTTCAGCTGGCTAGTGAAAGGAGGTAACTCTGTCAGTCTGACAAACTGGCCCTTTTTGTCCCTCCGAGGCCTCCGCACCTCAGACAACCAGTTTGTATCTCCTTTTACTGAACCTGGTGGAAGTTTAGTCTTTACCATCTTGGATATCTGTTCATATCTTGTAGTCCAAACAGAGCAATGCTACAGCCCTCCATTTATTTAGTAAACACATCTTGGCTATCATTAATCCTTCAATGCTATCAACATAGACATCCTGTATAGTTTTGTCAGTAGTGTATACTTTTATTCCCTCAATGTTAGTAGTTGATAGTGTTGAGAAGTGATCAGTCATCTGTTAATGTTGTCAGTAGCTTCAGATTAATCACTGTTGAATGGCAGCATCTGGATTATAATAAGAAGTAGCAATGTCCATATCAAGTAGTTAATACAAATAAAAAGTCTGATATTATTTATCTGGATTATAAAATGTAGCTAGCTAGTCAGGTATTGTTCATATTTTACTATGATCTCTTTGTTTTTATGTGATTTTGGGAAAAATGGTGTTGACAGACTGCAGCCTTCATCTGACGTATAATAGTAACTGACTCCTGTTTCTGTCTGATGATATCTCTGATACTGACTATGTGTCTCTGCCTCTGTGCTCCAGCCACCGGACCTCCAGCCCACCCTGCCTGTCCTGCCCTGCCAAGCCCAGCAGGGCTCACTGCCCTGGGCTCAGACACCCACACACCGCCCTCTCTCCTCCATCCATCCATCCACATTACCAGTCTCTCAATTTGCCTTCTCTGAGGTCTTCCCTCCCTCCTTACATTTTAGTCATTTTAGTCCTTCTCTCCTCCATCTCCACTTCTCTTGTTCTCTCCATCCCCGTTTCCCAATTTGCACATGCTCAGTTTGCTCTCTCCATATGGTCAGACTCAGTGACCGGAGCTTAGAGGATGGACATCAGAAGAGGGTGTAGCCAGGATGAGTATCTGCTGTTCTAAGTTTCTTTCTTCAAACTTTCTTGATTTGAAGTTTCTCAATACAAAGTTTCTCTGGTCAAATGTTTCTTGTTTTCTTTTCACACTGAGGTTCTCCCTGTTGCTCATGGGGTGATGATCCTCATGATGATGATGATGATGATGATGATGATGATGAAGTGCTGTTTTGTGTGTGTTGGTGTGTCTCTCTCCCTGGGGTGGCTCAAGTGTTTGATTTCTTAATAATGTTGTTGGTTTGGGTGGAGATGTATTGTGTATGTGTACACAGCATCCTATACTGTAGCTTGTAGTGTTCTAGTAATGACACCCTGTTCGCTATGTAGCACCATCTTGACCCATCATTTCCGACGCAGTCCTAGTATTCAGTGATATAAATTATGCATAGTAGTTCAGTCAGTCATACTAACTCCCTGTCTCCCCCCACAGTGCCAAGTGATCCGGTCCACAACCTCAGTGCTCAGATCTTCAGTTCTACGGCCATCATAGTAAGCTGGGACCCCCCTATGGAACCCAACGGACGCCCCTTCTACCTGCTCACCCTGCAGGAGGCTGGACACCCCCTTACCACTGAACCCCTGAACCCCCCAAACCATAACAGCAACCCCCGCGGACCCCCCGCTGTCAACAATACCATCACCAAGACAACCAATGACAACGTCTTCCTGTTTACCAAACTCAGGAAGTACTATCCCTACATCTTCACTGTTACCCCGGCAACCAGTGCCGGTCCCGCCCACAACCACACCAGCCTGCTGCACGTAAGGACCGATGATGATAGTGAGTCTTCTTACATACTCTCTCACACTCACTCACTCACACACTCACACACACACACACACACACACACACACACACATATACACACAAAATGTATATTTTAAACTCATACACACACATACTATTAACCCACTCTCTCCCTCCAGTCCCCAGTTCAGCTCCAATGCTGGTGTCCAGTAGGAACCTGTCGTCCTCCTCAGTGTCTGTGGTGTGGCAGCGCCCCCTGGAGACCAACGGAGAGTTAACCGAGTATTCCCTCACCCTGTTCGGCCCTGGAGGCTCCAACACCACACACACCCCCAACACCACCCTCACACTCACACAGCTGCTGCCCTACACTGCCTACAACCTCTCCATCACCGCAGCCACCCGCAAGGGCTCTGGACCACCGCTACTACTGATGCTGCACACAGACGAAGCAGGTAATCTTTAACCTCTCACCTTTAACCTCTATTAACCTCTAACCTAACATAACCCCTCCAACTGCTGCCATTGAACACAGACGAAGGCCAGTAATGTACTCTTACATTGTGTTCCACCAGGTCCGATGTCTCCTCCCCGTAACCTGTCTCTGTATAACCATACAGCCTTCTCTGTGTGGCTGACCTGGGAAGCCTCTCTGGAACCCAATGGTGTGGTCACACACTACGGCTTCAGGATCATTGAGAACAACACAAACACACTCACATACCAGGTACTGCACACACACACAGGAATGCGCACACACACACACACACACACACACACACACACACACACACACACACACACACACACACACACACACACACACACACACACTCACAAAGAAACGTTAAATATGTGTAACTGGAGTCCTGTGACTTTGCTATGTTCTGTCTATAAGATTTCCTGATTTCTCTCTCTCTCTCTTCCCCCCTCCTCTCTCTCAGAACTCTACAGGTCCGTGGACAGAAGGACAGCTGAGTGGGTTCCGGCCTCACCGCTCCTATGAGATCAGTGTGTTTAGCTACACCAGAGTGGGTCATGGAGACCAGTACAGCACTCCTGTGTCTTTCACAACCAACGAGTCAGGTCCGTGTGTGGGTGTATGTGGGTGTGTGCCTGGGTATGTGGGGTTGTGGAACTAGAAATCAAGTGCCATATGCATGTGAAAGTGGCTAATAACCCTTGCGTTAACCTTGTGTCTCCTGGCTCCAGTGTCTGAGGCGGTGGGTAACCTGTCCTGCTCTGGTCTGAGCTGGGACTCTGTGTTTCTACACTGGGAGCCTCCAGCCAACCCCAATGGACTCATCCTGTACTACCAGGTCCAGGTGGACACACACTCAGACTCACAGGCATACATACACCAGGCTGACACAAACCAGTACACGGTCAGCGGGCTGGCGCCGGACGCAGAATTCAAACTCACCGTGACGGCTGTCAACTCTGCCGGCCCAGGAGACCAGATCAACTGTACTGCCTACACACACCCCGAGTCAGGTACACACACACACACACACACACACACACACACACACACACACACACACACACACACACACACACACACACACACACACACACACACACACACACACACACACACACACACACACACACACACACACACACACACACTTCACCAGGAGACCAAATGAACTGTACCACCTCAACCCACCTTTATATCCCCCTGCAGTTCCTGGTGTCCCTCGCTTCCTGAGTGTGTCAGAGGCCACACCCACCAGCGTGACGCTCCAATGGGCTCCTCCCCTCTCTGCTCCGGGCATGCTCACTGAGTACCGCATCACCGTGCAGCTGCTGTCACCCGACTGCCAGTCTGACACACCCCTAGCTGAGGCCACACACCTGCCAGAGCCTACCCCTGCCCTGGCTCCAGGCTGCGTGGATCAGGATGTATGTTTACCTGGATATCTGAACGTAAATGTTGTCGGCTGCTGTGTCGTACATACAGTATGTCTACATGAATATGCTGTATGACACAGAATGAATTTCCTAACATTGAACTCAACATCATCTTCATGTTCATGATCTTCCTGGTCAGGTGTTGGTGTCAGTGAATGGTTCTGATGGTGGTGAGGGCAACAGGAGCATCACTCTCCAGTCTCTGGTCAAGTACCGCCTCTACCGCTTCAGAATCACAGCCCTTACTAATGCTGGGCCAGGAGAACACACACCCTGGAGATACACACACACACTGGCTGGGAGTAAGTACACACAAGCATGCACACACACATACAAAAGTACACACATACACACATACATACAACAGAAGTACCCACACACCCAGGCAGTATGTGCATATTCATACCTGTCTCATCCCTCAGACCCTGATGCCCCACCCAGTGACCTGTCGGTGACCATGTCCTCCAACAGCCTCCGTATCCAATGGCAAGTCCCAGATGTGATCACCGGCCCCACTTCCTACCTCATAGACGTCATCTCTGTGAGTACACACACACACACACACACACACACAAATAATAAAATTAAAATGTTTCTTACGACTGTATGTTGTGTCGTTGTTCAGCTGGATAGCAAGGGGTTAAACCAGTCTGTAGTACGAGGTCCAGAGGAGCTGAGGACCGTAGTTGTGACAAACCTGACTGCGTTCAGTCGCTACTCTGTGACCGTGACCGCCTTCACTGGACCACTGGAGAACGCACGGCGGGACGGACAGGCTACTGAGCCCACTGTCATCAGAACAATGGAGGAGGGTGAGGAATACACACATACAGTAATACAGTAGCTACTTTATTCAACTAGAAAGTAGTTCATCTCTCTCTCTCTCCTTCTCCTCCGTCCATCCCGCTCCCCTCCTCCCTCCAGAGCCCAGGGATCCTCCTAAGAACGTGACCCTGCATGTGATTCCAGAGGAAGTGACCCGTGTGTTTATGACCTTTGCCCCCCCGGAGGAACCCAATGGGAACATAAGTTCCTACACGGTGCTTGTCTACCGCCAGGGCCAGCTAGAGATGACCATTAACCACCTCGCTGTGGTCAAAAATAAGAACCGCACTCTGACCGCAGTCATCGAGGGGCTGAAGGGAGGCTACAACTATAGTATACGGGTGAGGATCACACACACACAGGACTCAACTACACACACACACAGGTCACAACTACACACATAGGTCACAACTACACACGCAGGTCACAACTACACACACAGGTCACAACTACACACACACAGGTCACAACTACACACACAGGTCACAACTTCACACACAGGTCACAACTACACACACACACAGATCACAACTATAATATATGGGCGAGGAACACACACACTGTCACAAAACACTTCAGCTTTCTGAGAAAATCTCCTCTCTCTCTCTCTCTCTCTCAGATTGCAGCAGTAAACGGCGCAGGTTTAAGCCCCCCCAGCTCAGAGGTTCGGATCACTACTGGAATCATAGGTACAGTGCTACATTTACACTACATAAGGGTGATTACTCATGAAACCAGGACAAAAAAAGACCATGATTTTCAGGAAATCTAATCCATAGAATGTTCCTTTGGAGGAAGGACATGAGTCCATTTTAATATTGATAATGCTTACAGATTGGATCATAACTCTAACAGAAGCAGAGATCCCACTCTGGAACTTTGATATGCCTGTAGATTATATATTGTTTGAAAATAAAAAGAAATATATGCCAAATCTAAAAATGTATATTTTCAATAGTCATGTTAATGTTTTTCAATATTCATAAATGAATGTAAGAATTGCTTTATTGAAATCAAAGTACTACTCATATTACAGAGCAGGCAATAAAGTGGTAAAGAGGTGAAGCTTCATATGACACCAATGTTTGCTTTGGAGCTCCTACAGACTAAACACTATGGAGTCTTAAAGGAGGCCTGGGGAAGGCCAAAATGTCATAAACATACCAACTTTGATTAATTATTTATCTATTATGTTTTTTAAATACAAATGTAAACTATATGTCAACAATCCTTCCTCTAAAGTCCATTCTATGGATTAAAGTTCGGGAAAATCCCCCAAATCATGGTATTTTCTTGGTCCTGATTTTGTGAGGAATCCCATAACCCATTCATAACCCCAACATGACCCCTGCATAACCGCAACGTTTGTGTGTGTGTGTGTGTGTCTGTGTGTAGCTCCTGCCAAGCCTACCCAGAGACCCCAGGCCGTGCTGGACCGAGGAGGAGTTGCCATGGTAACCTCCAAGAGCATCATTGTCCGCATGCCAGCCTGTTTCTACAGCGATGACAACGGACCAATCAGCAGCATCCAGATCATTGTGTCAGAATCTGGGGGTACGACATCACACGCGCTAACATGCACAGACACACACATAAACATACAGTACATCTATCAGACAGAAAATATCTCCTAAACTAAAATGTTTAGGAGTTACTGCTTTAGGCCTAGTCTGAGATCTGTATGTCTCTCTGTCTAAGTGATGGACAGCAGGAACCTGACCAACTGGAAGACCGCATTCTTCTCTCGTCCCGCCCCCTACCTGACTGACAATGGCTTCCCCAACCCACTCTGTGTGAGGGACCACGAGAGCAGGGACACACACACACAAACCAGCAGACGCACCAACTCACACATTAGACACAGAATTGTGAGGGACAGGGTGCTGGACCGTAGAGACCACCAGGAAGACCACTATGTCATCGGAGAGGAGGGCAACTGTCTGACTGAGGAGTACAGTAACACACTCTGTAACGGACCCCTCAAACCAAACACTGTCTACGTGTGAGTATACACAACACACACATGTACTGTAAACACACAGACATAAACACACACACATACAAAGTTCAATACAGTGCATGTCTTTGTCTGTGTTGCAGGTTTAAATTCCGAGCCACCAACATCCGAGGCCAGTACACAGACTCTGACTACTCTGAGCATATCAGAACCGCAGGTAACAACTCCTCCCCTATTCTTTCCACAAACTCACACACACACCTCTCCTCTCCAATGCAAAGTGATTAAACAACCCCTCTTATCTTTCCCTCCTCTCCACCGCTCCCCCTCCTGTCTGACAGTGGATGGGTTGTTGACCAGAGATGAACAGATCATTCTGGGAGTTGTCCTCTCCTTCTTCCTAGCCGTGCTGCTCATCATCATCATCTATGCCTCTGTCAGGTAAACTCAATGTTCCTCTGATGGTTCTAGCTGATGGTTCTAGCTGACCAAGGTTTAAACCCAGCCAGCCGTATTCAGGTGTCTCAGAGCTTTTGACATGTCCCTCATCCAATGGCAGGATCCGTCAGCGTCAGAAGGAGGGAGGGACCTACTCTCCCCGGGAGGCGGAGATTATAGAGACCAAGTTTAAACTGGATCAGCTGATTGCTGTGGCCGACCTGGAGCTGAAGGAAGAGAAGCTACACCGGTCTGTGTGTGTGTGTGTGTGTGTGTGTGTGTGTGTGTGTGTGTGTGTGTGTGCGCGAATGTGTGTGTCTGCCTACGTGTGCGTGTCTTTTTCCTCACACATACACTCGCACTCCCTCTCTATCACTCGCACACTCCATCACAAAGGTTCACCCACTGTAACGTTATGCTCACTCTACCTTTAACACTCTTCCGACCTCGACCTACCTGCATGCCTACAGACTGTGCTTGGCTGCTGTTAACACACACACACACACACACACACACACACACACACAATCACACAACCACACACAAGGCTGTCTGCACTCTGCACTCTCTCACTCTAACCCCTCTCTCACACTCTCTCTCCAGGTATTCCTCCTTCTTCTTTAGACGGAAGGAGATATTTGTCATCCAGTAAGTTGTTATTACAGATGTAGGATCTTAATTTGATTACTCTTTTGTTGCTGCAAACTTGTAGTGTATTTGAGCTTTTTTTACACTTTTACATTTCTGACTTGATTTGCCCTAATGAAAAGTGTATCAACCCCAATAAAAATGTACATTAATTATAATCCACATAATAATTCACATTTTCTGTTTCTGAAGTATTATTTTCCTGCTGTAGCAAACTGGCTGAAATTAAGATCCTACATTTGTAGGCAGTGTGTGTAGCCTCTCTGTGTGTAGCACTTCATGTGTTGTAGCTCTCCATGTTTGTGTTGCTGTGTTGCATTGCAGTGTGTTGTTGTCTCTCTCATTGCTTTAGTTTCACAGTGAAGTTCTGTTGTAGTTTCACAGTGTCAGTCTGTCTGTAACTGTAGAGTAATGGAAAGTAAAGTCTGCTGTACTCAGTGTGCTAGTGTGACTCATATTGTTCTGTCAACTCTGTTTTAGACTTCTCAGCTACAGAAAGTCTCTCAAGTAAGTCACCTGATGAGTGTGTATGTTGTGCTATGTGATTGTATGTGTTGGGCAATACTAGTTGGATTTGGATTGCTGCTCTGTGAAGGATTTCTCTTACCCCCATCTCTCTCTGTCTCTCAGGCCGGTCAATAAGAGGTCTTTTCTGCAGCATGTAGAGGATCTGTGTGCTAACGAGAACGTCAAGTTCCAGGAAGAGTTTGCAGTATGTAACTCTGACCTCTGACCCCTGTGAAAACCTGTGTGTGTGCGCGCCTGCGTGTATGTGCGTGCGTGTTTGTGTGTCTGTGTGTAGACTGACAGTGTTAACCCTGTCCTCGCCAGGAGCTGCCCAAACTGCTGCACGACCTGGCTACATCAGACGCTGACCTTCCCTGGAACAGATCCAAGAACCGCTTCACTAACATCAAACCCTGTATGAGCACACATGCATGCACACACACACTGAGCGTAACAAATACACACAGCCTAACACACTCTCTCCTCTACAGACAACAACAACCGTGTTAAGCTGCTGTCTGAACCTGGCATGCCTGGATCTGACTACATCAATGCTAGCTTCATCTCAGTGAGTCTCACACACACACACACACACACACACACACACACACACACACACACACACACACACACACACACACACACACACACCGGAAAGAGAACACTCATGCTTTCAAAGAAAATGTAATTACCTCTTGAACCTTGCCATCTAAACACTCCAACTTTTGTGTTTACAAAACTGGAGACTTGTGGGTTCGATCCCAGGCTGTGACCGGGAGACCAATTGGGCAGCGCACAATTGGCCCAGCGTCGTCCGGGTTAGGGGAGGGTTTGGCCGGCCCGGGATTTCCTTGTCTCATCGTGCTCTAGCGACTCTTTGTGGCGGGCTTAGCGCCTGCTAGCTGACTTCGTCCGTTGGACGGTGTTTCCTTCGACACATTGGTGTTGCTGGCTTCCGGGTTAAGCAAGCAGTGTGTCAAGAAGCAGTGCGTCTTGGCAGGGTCGTGTTTCGGAGGACGCATGGCTCTTGACCTTTGCCTCTTCCGAGTCCGTAGGGGAGTTGCAGCGATGAGACAAGATCGTAACAACCAATTGGATATCACGAAATTGGGGCGAAAAAGTAAAAGTAAAAAAGTAATATATATATATACTGGAGACTTGTGACTTTGCTCTGTTCTGATTATAAGATTCTCTCTCTTGCTGCATCTCCTTCTCCCTCAATAGGGCTATCTGTGTCCCAGTGAGTTCATAGCGACCCAGGGTCCTCTCCCCGGTACTGTGGCTGACTTCTGGAGGATGATCTGGGAGACTCGCACACAAACCATCGCTATGCTCACACAGTGCTATGAGAAAGGAAGGGTAAGGACCGGACCAAGGTTCTAGTAGTGTCAGGGTTGTATGTCTGTTTAGATCTGCTGTCACCAATTGTGTGTGTTCGTGTGTGTTTGTGTTTGTGTGTGTGTGTAGATCCGGTGTCACCAGTACTGGCCAGAAGATAATAAGCCGGTTACAGTGTTTGGGGACATCATCATCACCAAGCTGACAGAGGACGTCTATCCTGACTGGACCGTCAGAGCTCTCAAAGTGGAGAGGGTAACACACACACACACACACATATTTGAGTATCCCAGAGTAACCAAGTTTATAGAGTTTCCCTCTTGATAATCAAAACATTGTTCTCCCCCATCTCTCCCCCCCTCTCTCTCTCGCTCTCTCTCTCTCTCCCTAGCATGGGGACTACATGGTGGTTCACCACTTCAACTACACCTCCTGGCCAGAGCATGGTGTACCAGAGTCCAGCAGCACACTCATACAGTTTGTTAGAGCCATCAGAGCCAACAGGCATGAGAACACCACTATAGTGGTGCACTGCAGTGCTGGCGTGGGCAGGACAGGAGTGTTTATAGCGTTGGACCACCTGATTCAACACGTCAGTGATCATGACTTTGTGGACATCTACGGTCTGGTGGCTGAACTACGCAGTGAGAGGATGTGTATGGTGCAGAACCTGGTGAGAAATATGTCTTTATACAACATGTATCATAATATAATGAAATATTCTTACTGTGATATGGATATGATACTTTGTAGTAATGTGATACTCTAGTTTCCCCATGTTGTCCTGGTGTATTCAAACCTGCAGAGAGCCTGACAGAATCTTAGCGAGTTTGTGCATGCATGTCCCCAGGCCCAGTATATGTTCCTACACCAGAGTACTCTGGACCTGCTGAACAGTAAAGGAAACAGCCAATCCATCTGGTTCGTCAACTACTCTGCTCTGGAGAAGATGGACTCACTGGACGCTATGGAGGGTGAGCACACGCACGCACGCACGCACACACACACACACGCACACACATACATACAAATACACATACACTAGCATACACACACGTCATAAACGCACATTTCATATCTCTACTCTTTTGTGTTCTTGCAGGTGATGTTGAACTGGAATGGGAGGAGACTACAATGTAAAGGCTGAGAACTTCTCAGTCAACTTCACACCTGATAAACACACCTATTCTTGGGTCATGGGGCCAAATCCTGGACATACTGACTGTTTGTCAGATAGATTGCTCCACCAGAGATAGAGGGAGAGAAAGAGAGAGGGAGGGAGAGAGAGAGGAGAGAAAGAGTGAAAGAAGGAGAGATAATTTTGTAGTCCAAAAAGAGTAATGCCTCCAGTTTCCTCCAGCTTCTTTGGGAACACAAGTTGCCCTTTTTTGGCAGGAGAGTCAAAACCACACAACAGAAACTTGGTGGTTCCCTGGCCTGAATTGTCACACCATTACAGCCCTTTTGGAGCCCTGCATATTTTCTATGTCCACAGGCAGAAAAGAGAGGGAGATACATGTATATATAGTAGGGCTGTCAGAGTTAACCAGTTAACTCAAGTTCACTTTTTGTAATTTTATTACACACATTTCTTTGTATCACGTTTAATTGCATTGTCTGAAAGTGTTCAAAATACACTGAAAACATCAAAAATACAGAATCTATACAGCTAGAAACCACAATGTGATGTCCAAACAAGTTATCAATTTACCTGATTTTGCTTACCGTTACTTTGAAGAAAATCAAGACATCAATATTCTTGTAATGCTTTTTGTGTAAAGAATGTCAATCTGAGCAAATTCTGATTTTGCGATTAATAGCAATTAATCACAGCAAATCATGCGATTAACTCGATTACATTTCTTTCTTCATTTGACAGCCCTAATATATAGGCTATATACAGTAGAAGTCTGAAGTTTACATACACTTACAGTGAGGGAAAAAAGTATTTGATCCCCTGCTGATTTTGTACGTTTGCCCACTGACAAAGAAATTATCAGTCTATAATTTTAATGGTAGGTTTATTTGAACAGTGAGAGACAGAATAACAACAACAAAAATCCAGAAAAACACATGTCAAAAATTGTATAAATTGATTTGCATTTTAATGAGGGAAATAAGTATTTGACCCCCTCTCAATCAGAAAAATATCTGGCTCCCAGGTGTCTTTTATACAGGTAACGAGCTGAGATTAGGAGCACACTCTTAAAGGGAGTGCTCCTAATCTCAGTTTGTTACCTGTATAAAAGACACCTGTCCACAGAAGCAATCAATCAATCAGATTCCAAACTCTCCACCATGGCCAAGACCAAAGAGCTCTCCAAGGATGTCAGGGACAAGATTGTAGACCAACACAAGGCTGGAATGGGCTACAAGACCATCGCCAAGCAGCTTGGTGAGAAGGTGACAACAGTTGGTGTGATTATTCGCAAATGGAAGAAACACAAAATAACTGTCAATCTCCCTCGGCCTGGGGCTCCATGCAAGATCTCACCTCGTGGAGTTGCAATGATCATGAGAACGGTGAGGAATCAGCCCAGAACTACACGGGAGGATCTTGTCAATGATCTCAAGGCAGCTGGGACCATAGTCACCAAGAAAACTATTGGTAACACACTACGCCGTGAAGGACTGAAATCCTGCAGCGCCCGCAATGTCCCCCTGCTCAAGAAAGCACATATACAGGCCCATCTGAAGTTTGCCAATGAACATCTGAATGATTCAGAGGAGAACTGGGTGAAAGTGTTGTGGTCAGATGAGACCAAAATCGAGCTCTTTGGCATTAACTCAACACGCCGTGTTTGGAGGAGGAGGAATGCTGCCTATGACCCCAAGAACACCATCCCCACCGTCAAACATGGAGGTGGAAACATTATGCTTTGGGGGTGTTTTTCTGCTAAGGGGACAGGACAACTTCACCGCATCAAAGGGACGATGGACGGGGCCATGTACCGTCAAATCTTGGGTGAGAACCTCCTTCCCTCAGCCTGGGCATTGAAAATGGGTCGTGGATGGGTATTCCAGCATGACAATGACCCAAAACACACGGCCAAGGCAACAAAGGAGTGGCTCAAGAAGAAGCACATTAAGGTCCTGGAGTGGCCTAGCCAGTCTCCAGACCTTAATCCCATAGAAAATCTGTGGAGGGAGCTGAAGGTTCGAGTTGCCAAACGTCAGCCTCGAAACCTTAATGACTTGGAGAAGATCTGCAAAGAGGTGTGTGACAAAATCCCTCCTGAAATGTGTGCAAACCTGGTGGCCAACTACAACAAACTTCTGACCTCTGTGATTGCCAACAAGAGTTTTGCCACCTAGTACTAAGTCATGTTTTGCAGAGGAGTCAAATACTTATTTCCCTCATTAAAATGCAAGTCAATTTACAACATTTTTGACATGCGTTTTTCTGGATTTTTTTGTTGTTATTCTGTCTCTCACTGTTCAAATAAACCTACCATTAAAATTATAGACTGATCATTTATTTGTCAGTGGGCAAACGTACAAAATCAGCAGGGGATCAAATACTTTTTTCCCTCACTGTAGGTTGGAGTCATTAAAACTCATCTTTCAACCACTCCACAAATTTCTTGTTAACAAACTATAGTTTTGGCAAGTCGGTTAGGACATCTACTTTGTGCATGACACAATTCATTTTTCCAACAATTGTTTACAGACAGATTATTTCACTTATAATTCACTGTATCACAATTCCAGTGGGTCAGAAGTTTACATACACTAAGTTGACTGTGCCTTTAAACAGCTTGGAAAATTCCAGAAAATGATGTCATGGCTTTAGAAGCTTCTGATTGCTAATTGACATCATTTGAGTCAATTGGAGGTGTACCTGTGGATGTATTTCAAGACCTACCTTCAAACTCAGTGCCTCTTTGCTTGACATCATGGGAAAATCAAAAGAAATCAGCCAAGACCTCAGAAAAAAGATTGTAGACCTCCACAAGTCTGGTTCATCCTTGGGAGCAATTTCCAAACGCCTGAAGGTACCACGTTCATCTGTACAAACAATAGCACGCAAGTATAAACACCATGGGACCACACAGCCGTCATACTGCTCAGGAAGGAGACGCGTTCTGTCTCCTTGAGATGAAGGTACTTTGGTGCGAAAAGTGCAAATCAATCCCAGAACAACAGCAAAGGACCTTGTGAAGATGCTGGAGGAAACAGGTACAAAAGTATCTATATCCAAAGTAAAACGAGTCCTATATCGACATAACCTGAAAGGCCGCTCAGTAAGGAAGAAGCCACTGCTCCAAAACCGCCATAAAAAAGCCAGACTACGGTTTGAAACTGCACATGGGGACAAAGATCGTACTTTTTGGAGAAATGTCCTCTGGTCTGATGAAACAAAAATAGAACTGTTTGGCCATAATGACCATCGTTATGTTTGGAGGAAAAAGGGGAAGGCTTGCAAGCCGAAGAACACCATCCCAACCGTGAAGTACGGGGGTGGCAGCATCATGCTGTGGGGGTGCTTTGCTGCAGGAGGGACTGGGGCACTTCACAAAATAGATGGCATCATGAGGAAGGAAAAGTATGTGGATATATTGAAGCAACATCTCCAGACATCAGTCAGGAAGTTTAAGCTTGGTTGCAAATGGGTCTTCCAAAAGGACAATGACCCCAAGCGTACTTCCAAAGTTGTGGCAAAATGGCTTAAGGACAACAAAGTCAAGGTATTGGAGTGGCCATCACAAAGCCCTGACCTCAATCCTATAGAAAATGTGTGGGCAGAACTGAAAAAGCGTGTGCGAGCAAGGAGGCTGTCACGATCGTCGTATCGAGTAGACCAAGGCGCAGCGTGTTGAGCGAACATACTTTATTTAATTAAAGTGCACACACGAATAACAAAACAACAAACGATACCGTGACGTTCTAAGTCTAAACACAACCAACTGGAACAAGATCCCACAAACACTAAGGGAAAACCGACAGTTTAAATATGGCTCCCAATCAGAGACAACCAGCCACAGCTGACACTCGTTGCCTCTGATTGGGAGTCACTCAGGCCAACATAGAAATAAACAAACTAGAACTCCCAACAAAGAAATACAACACATAGAATGAACACACCCTGGCTCAACATATAGAGTCCCAGAGCCAGGGTGTGACAGTACCCCCCCCTAAAGGCGCGGACTGCGACCGCGCCTCAACTAGAGCAAAACAGGGGAGTGCTGGGTGGGCATTCCTCCTCGGCGGCGGTTCTGGCTCCGGGCTTGCCCACCACCCTCCAATAATCCCCCCATAGCGCCCCTGGTCCGGTCTGGCCCCGCTGGCTGGAGCTGAACTGGACGTAGCAGGAGCGGTTAGCTTCAGCTCCGTTGTGGAGCAGTTGACCGGTACCTGATTAGGCACCGGTGACCCAGGCACGGGTTGTGCCGGACTGACGACGCGCACCCCTGGCTTGGTGCGTGAGGCAGGAACGGACCGGACCGGGCTGACGATTCGCACCCCTGGCTTGGTGCGTAGAGCAGGAACGGGCCTTACCAGGCTGACGACTCGCACCCCTGGCTTGGTGCGTGGAGCAGCAACGGGCTTTACCAGGCTGACGACTCGCACCCCTGGCTTGGTGCGAGTAGCAGGAACGGGCTGGACCAGGCTGACGACTCGCACCCCTGGCTTGGTGCGAGTGGCAGGAACAGGCCGGGCCGGGCTGGCGACGCACACCGTAGGCTTGCTGCGAGTGGCAGGAACGGGCCGGGCTGGCGACGCACACCGTAGGCTTGGTGCGAGGGGCAGGAACAGGCCGGGCCGGGCTGGCGACGCGCACCGTAGGCTTGGTGCGAGGGGCAGGAACAGGCCGGGCCGGGCTGGCGACACGCACCGTAGGCTTGGTGCGAGGGGCAGGAACAGGCCGGGCCGGGCTGGCGACGCGCACCGTAGGCTTGGTGCGAGGGGCAGGAACAGGCCGGGCCGGGCTGGCGACGCGCACCGTAGGCTTGGTGCGAGGGGCAGGAACAGGCCGGGCCGGGCTGGCGACGCGCACCGTAGGCTTGGTGCGAGGGGCAGGAACAGGCCGGGCCGGGCTGGCGACGCGCACCGTAGGCTTGGTGCGAGGGGCAGGAACAGGCCGGACCGGGCTGGCGACGCGCACCGTACACTTGGTGCGAGGGGCCGGAACAGGCCGGACCGTACTGGGGACACACACCACTGGCTCTACACCGGGATCTGGAACGGGCCGGACCGGACTGGTAACACACCCCAGTACCTCTCGCCGTGCCTCTACACCTTCCCTCCCTACTTTGGCCAGTGGCCCCCGTAACCTGGTGGCCTTCTGAATACGCCCCTTTTCTGCCTCCGTCAGCCCCGTCGTCCATGCCGTGTGCCCCCCCCTAAATTTTTTTTGGGGTTGCCTCTCGACCGTCCGACGACGACACTGATCACGCCGTTGCTCCTCTCTCCGTCGCCTCTCTACCGTCTCACTCCATGGCCGGTGATCCATCCCGGCCAGGATTTCCTCCCAGGTCCAGGACCCCTGCCCGTCCAAAATCTGCTCCCACGTCCAGGCTGCCTGCTCCTGGACACGCTGCTTGGTCCTGGTATGGTGGGATATTCTGTCACGATCGTCGTATCGAGTAGACCAAGGCGCAGCGTGTTGAGCGAACATACTTTATTTAATTAAAGTGCACACACGAATAACAAAACAACAAACGATACCGTGATGTCCTAAGTCTAAACACAACCAACTGGAACAAGATCCCACAAACACTAAGGGAAAACCGACAGTTTAAATATGGCTCCCAATCAGAGACAACCAGCCACAGCTGACACTCGTTGCCTCTGATTGGGAGTCACTCAGGCCAACATAGAAATAAACAAACTAGAACTCCCAACAAAGAAATACAACACATAGAATGAACACACCCTGGCTCAACATATAGAGTCCCAGAGCCAGGGTGTGACAGAGGCCTACAAACCTGACTCAGTTACACCAGCTCTGTCAGGTGGAATGGGCCAAAATTCACCCAACTTATTGTGGGAAGCTTGTGGAAGGCTACCCGAAACATTTGACCCAAGTTAAACAATTTAAAGGCAATGCTACCAAATACTAATTGAGTGTATGTAAACTTCTGACCCACTGGGAAAGTGATCAAATAAATAAAAGCTTAAATAAATCATTCTCTCTACTATTATTCTGACATTTCACATTCTTAAAATAAAGTGGTGATCGTAACTGACCTAAGACAGGGAATTTTTACTCTGATTAAATGTCAGGAATTGTGAAAAACGGAGTTTAAATGTATTTGGCTAAGGTGTATATAAACCTCCGACTTCAACTGTATATCACAAATGTAAGTATACAGGTATCTTGCACTAGTCATACCACTGTGTATTTTATTCGATTCTTGTATGATGTTTTTTTACATTTAAGTTATTCAGCCAAATAGTGTTGTGTCACTGTGTTCATGTTTGTGTCACTGTGTTACTATGTTTATATCACGTGTTACTATGTTTATATCACGTGTTACTATGTTTATATCACGTGTTACTATGTTTATATCATGTGTTACTATGTTTATATCACGTGTTACTATGTTTATATCACGTGTTACTATGTTTATATAACGTGTTACTATGTTTATATCACGTGTTACTATGTTTATATCACGTGTTACTATGTTTATATCACGTGTTACTATGTTTGTCATTGTAATTGGGGGGTTTGGGGGATAATGTATTTGTGGGGTGTTATGTTTTATTTGATGTATTTTCTCTGAGTGTTCTACATCTGTGTTTTGGACAAGTAAAATCAACTCCACTACTCACCTGTCTGTCTTATCAGTGTGCATATCTATTGATCTGTCTATCTGTCTGTCTGTCTGTCATCTTGTGCACTGTGAGCTGTTAAGTGGACAGAAATGACACCCTGAGAAAGTCTGAGAAACTGTGTGTACAGTATAGCACACAGGACTCAAGGCAGAGTACAAACTACTTTATTCTTTAATTAATTTCAAACAGAAATCTTTAGAAATATTCCATTAGTAAACAGTGTAATTGTTATAAACATGATATTCTCTTAGTAAATATTTTATAAATGTGTCGGTGCACAGGTGCTCTCATCAACAGTGTAACACATCTCCAAGATGGACACATCTCCAAGAAGGACAGGTGAGCCAGACTAGGGCTAGGGCGATAATATGTTAGGACTTTAGAACATGCTAAAATGTCTACTATGATTCCTGCTTGTTTTCCACTAAACCATCTAATGCTAACGCTAGCGCGATCAAAGCTACAGTATAACTCTAACTATGATAATGTAGTGAAGTCATCATGTAGATGTGTCATCTCTGTGCGTGTTTCCATGGTAACTGGACTGCCTGTTCTGTCTCCAAAGGTAACAGTGGGGTTCTGTTGCCCCTATAGTCTGAAAAACAAATAGATTTGTTTTCTCTTCCAAGCTAAATACAATGTCCTCCCCTCTGTACAAATACATAAATACACACATCAGCACTGCATCCATTATTTCTATATTAAATCTATATATCACCTATATACACATATCCAGTATTCTGATATACTCCAAAAATATGGTGCAACACTTAGAGGACAGCCTCAGTGGGTCACCACGTGTCACAGCCCTCAGAGAGAGGGGAAGGAAGAATGTTACAACAATCAGTAATAATAATGAAACATATTCAATATTCTGATAAATATCTTAAGTCATTCTCTGGTTTAATGCTCTGTGTGTGTGTGTGTGTGTGTGTGTGTGTGTGTGTGTGTGTGTGTGTGTGTGTGTGTGTGTGTGTGTGTGTGTGTGTGTGTGTGTGTGTGTGTGTGTGCGCGTGCGTGCGTGCGTGCGTGTACTGATTGTGTATATAATTTACATCCCTGTGTGACATGCAGTCCAGTGAAGAGTAGAACAGGTTAATCATGTGAGAATGGATAATAGGGATTCACAACGTGAGACTGAATATTCAACAGGACTAATAAGATAGAATGTTAGAACATGATCAATTAATACGATTAAACGTTAATGTTTTTATGAACTAATCATATGAATATTAGAACATTATTAACCAATAAGATTGAAAGTTGACAATAGTAGCTGATCAAATAAGATTGTCATCAGTACTGGTGTTTCCCTGAGTGTGAGGCTTGGACCCATGTAACAAAACCTCAGAGACTATAACAATGGTATTTGCACATGCCTGCAAACAAGCACACACACACCCCCTTTCACACTCACACACTGGCACACCCTCATACTTTCACATGCACACACACTCCCACACACTCCCAGTCAGACATTATGAACAGAGATACAGATTGTAATAATTTGTAAACCAGGACTCAGGAGAAACTGTCTTCACTCCCTGCTGCTCTGACATACTCACTTATTCAGGATCAAAAGTATTATTAACATCTCATTATCATCTTATAACACAAAACACAGAGTGCCAAGGAGGATAGAGATGACATGTTTCTATGTCCAGACAGCTCCAGACAGTTCCATTCACTGAGAGGAGTTCCTTTTGTTGCCTCAGCTGTGTGATATCAGGGTAGGGTTAGAGTCAGGGATTAGGGGGTGGGAGGGGCATCCTAGAGCGTTCTTCCTAAAGCCAGGTACAGATATAGATATGTACAGATGACACTGTGACAAGAGCTGTCAGATTAGAAAATCTATCTTTAGAAATGTTGTCAAAACTACATCATATTCAAAAATACACATTACATCATTAGATGACTTTGAATTTATATTGATTTGAATCCTCTCCATTTTCTCCCACTCTATATATCGGCTTATTCCATCTCTCTCAGCTGACTTCCTTACCTCCCTCTTTCTCTTCCTCCCTTCCTCGTCTCACCCTTTCTCTCTCTATCTTCGTATATGAGTGTTTGTGTTGTGTGTGTTTCTCCCACACATCATTGTTTAACAAAAGGTCAGAGGATGCAGGATTAGGTGTGGTAGGATCAGGGGCCATGTGTCAGACGAGGCTGCGGGAACCACTAGAGTTGCGTCTACGTAGGGGGTGAGGAAGGGTGTGTGGAAGGGGGCAGGGGGAGTCGGGGGGACAGTACTGGTGGGGGTGGTTGTAGGGGGGAGGAGGAGGAGGCAGAGGGGGCTCAGATCCCTCTCTGATCCGTACTGGTGTGGACATCGCTGATTGGATGAGGCGGTGGTGGGAGGCGGGGCTTCCTTGGCTGAGGAAGGCTTCCATTCGCCCCTGGCCGCTCTGGTCCATGACAATCACCTTGACGATCTGCTGGCATTGAATGAGGGTGTCTGGGCGGAGTTCTCCAGGGTGGGTGGGGCTAAGCATTGCCAGGGGTTCTGCCAGAGCCAGTTGGGTGGAGTCGGGACTGGCCACATGGTAGGTCTGGAGCAGCCTATCAGGGCTGGGCTGGGTCATGTGGTAGGTCTGCAGCAGCCTATTGTGAATTGACACCTAGTTTAGAAACAGCCAGAGAATGGCATGAGGAGTTACCAGCCTGAATGCAGCCTACAGCAGCCCTCTGGTGGGTTAGACACACTGGCAGCATGCAGGCATGCAGGGAGCGAGCACACGCATGTACACACACCAGCTCAGAGACACACTTGTGTTTGGGTCGAGGGACGTTTCAGTGTCTCCCTAACAAAGATTTTTACATTTAGTCATTTAGCAGACGCTCTTATCCGCAGCGACTTACAGGAGCAAGGGCACATTGACAGAATTTTCACCTAGTCGGCTTGGGGATTCAACCAGTGACCTTTCGGTTACTGGCCCAACGCTCTTAACCACTATGCTACCTGCCGCCCAGATATATGCAACTCTAAAGGACTGACTAAGAGTTAGGGGTTGGTGGGGAGGTTGGGATGGGGGCTGCTAGTTCTGTAGAGAGGGCATTTAGAGTGGAGGAACTGGGCTTGATTCATACACATAATATAATAATAATAATATAATATGCCATTTAGCAGACACTTTTATCCAAAGCGACTTACAGTCATGTGTGCATACATTTTTACGTATGGGTGGTCCCGGGGATCAAACCCACTACCCTGGCGTTACAAGCGCCATGCTCTACCAATTGAGCTACAGAGGATCACATGCATGCATACACAGACACAGACACAGACACAGACACAGACACAGACACAGCATCACGCATCAACCCTGAGTCTGGCCATGGAAATTGTTTTCTAGCAAGCCAGCAGGGCTTGGAAAAGCGTATGATGGCTGGGAAGCAAATGTTCTGTTAGCAGGAGACTAATAGCTAATAGCTAACCCCCCACTAGCAGGAGGCTAATAGCTAATAGCTAACCCCCCACTAGCAGGAGGCTAATAGCTAACCCTGCATTAGCAGGTGGCTAATAGCTAATTACTGGCCCCTGTTAGCAGAAGGCTGAAGGTTAAAGCTAGCCCTACAGTTGTAGCTGTGTCGCTCTGAGTCACACAGAGCTGGAGGGAGCTGACGAGGGTCTCCTTACTCCTCACCTGTCTGTATCTTTGCTAACAACAAACACACAGTGTGTATGTGACTCACCTCCACAGTGTTGTTGCCAGTCTTGTCATACAGATCTTGCTGGGCTGAGGGCAGAAACACAAAAGTGACACAGACAGCGTGATGTGTGGATGCTAGTCGCTAACTTAGTGTTTGTTTGTTACCTGTGGGGGATCCTGTGTGTCGACTGAGTGTGCCCATCTGTCCTCCGTTGGTGTGGGGGGTATGAGTCTGCACCCCCTGTTCTCTCTCCAGCTCCCCTGCAGACAGTGATATATGACCATATACATATTGTGTGTGTGTGTGTGTGTGTGTGTGTGTGTGTGTGTGTGTGTGTGTGTGTGTGTGTGTGTGTGTGTGTGTGTGTGTGTGTGTGTGTGTGGGTGTGTTTGTTTGTGTGTGGGTGGGTGCTCACATTGGATGTGTATCTGTTCCATCTCATTGACCTCAGTGATAGACTCTCGTAGCTCCTCTGTGAACTTCCTGAGCTCCTCTCCACTGGGGGAACAGAAACTCACCACCTGCTTCTTCTCTGACGAGAACGGACTCAACATGGTGATGCCATGAGCATAGTCTGGACACACACACACACACACACACACACACACACACACACACACACACACACACACACACACACACACACACACACACACACAGTTAGCTATGTAAGTAAAAAGGTGATGCCATTGGCATAGTCTGGACTCTGGACAAACAATGTCACAGCTCATCATAGTTAGCTATGTATGTAGCAGTACAGTGTTATAGTATAGTAGCAGTAGTAGTAATGGTAGTATAGTAATTACATTCGTTGCTGAAGAGGTGGAACTGCATGCCCAGTAGACCCATGGCTTTGCAGAAGGTGTAGGAGGCAGAAGTCTTCTTCTTGGGACACAACTTCAGGATCTGTGTGAGGAGATATCAGAATGAACATTAGCTATACCATCAGTACACAAACACACACTGTGAGTACACAAAATAACACTACACGTGTGCGTGCGTGCGTGTGTGCTTGTGTGTGTTCTCACCAGTATGAGGTCGTTGAACAGGAACACCTCTCTCTGGGTGTTGGCCAGTTTCTGTTTCAGAGGTTTGTTGAAGTCTGCCACCTCGAACAGACGACAGCAGCACACCAGCCTACGGTGGGGCACAGACAGGATCTACAAAGAAATACACACACACCATGGGCTTAACACACACACCATGAGGTTAACACACACACACCATGAGGTTAACACACACACCATGGGTTTAACACACACACACCATGAGGTTAACACACACACCATGAGGTTAACACACACACACCATGAGGTTAACACACACACACCATGAGGTTAACACACACACCATGGGCTTAACACACACACCATGAGGTTAACACACACACACCATGAGGTTAACACACACACACACCATGAGGTTAACACACACACCATGGGCTTAACACACACACCATGAGGTTAACACACACACACACCATGGGGTTAACACACACACACTCACCGCTCTCTCACACACAGATACACACCTCTCCCTCAAACTCTATCTCACTCTCTCTCCATCTCTCTTTCAGACACACAACACACACATGCACCTCTCTCTCTCTCTCTCTCTCTCTCTCTCTCTCTCTCTCTCTCTCACTCTCTCTCACTCTCTGTATCTCTCTCTCTCTCTCTCTCTCTCTCTCTCTCTCTCTCTCTCTCTCTCTCTCTCTCTCGCTATCTGACACACACACACCCAAACCCAACACACTCACAGTCTTCATGCCCAGTATGGACTGTTCCACACGGCTGACGTAGGTGACGTGGTCTTCGTTGGAGCGTAGCTCTCTCTGCTGGGTCCTCTCATATATCCCTGCCACCATCTCCCTGGGGATGTCTGCTCCGTCGTCCACTCCTGAGGAAACAGGGACACACACTACTAGTCACACAGGAGGAACTAGAGAGGGAATTCAGAAAATAAAGTAATAGCTGAATTTACTCCATCCCTGGTTTAGACTCTTTGCAAGACAGGACAGGAGTGGCTGGTGTTAGTAGCACTCATATCTGTCAGCAGTAGATATGCTGTGGCTCTATCTCACCACTAGAGGGAAACCTTGTGTTGTGTTCCAGTCAGGAGCGAAGCCCCATCCCCAGTAGAACATGAGGAGAGGAGTTAGTGATGTTCCTGCACCCAACCCTCTCTCTCTCTTGTCCCCTGGTTTGGTGTGTTCTCTAGACTCACCAGACCTGATCCTGCCACTCTAATGATATGTGCCAGTCCAGACAAAAATGGCACTGTGTTGTATTAAAATATTCAAAGCATTGTGTGTGCATCTGTGCGGGTTTGCGTGTCAGTTCTATAAATAACCACTCCAGTGTCTCTAGTCTCTAACACCAAGCTCAGAAACGCTGTCATAAATGTTGCAAGGCTTCTGCAGCTCATTATACTGAGTCACACTCATAAACACAC